TTTGTTTTCCTTACTCTGATTTATCTGGGAATTTGAATATGGGCTGATGAGCCAAGTTTGAAATGTGGGTCGAAATAGAAAACCAACTGGGCTTTAGAAATTTAATATTTTTAATTTTATTTTTGTCCAAACAATTTTTCTATTCTTCCCCGGTAGTAGTTATTTTGGTCAAAACAAGAAAAATCAATCCTCGTCTTCATCATCAAAAAACAAGTAAATGAGTACATGACTAAGACTAATCATCATTTATATCAATATCACCGTCAATATAAGTTAGTAGCTAACCTCTAGTGATCACTGATCATACGATCATCATTATCAGTTCATTGTCCACCAATATCACTATATCAGTTATTCAACATGAAAACATCATGATTCATATTTCATGCCCATTGCCCCATATATCTATATAGTTGTAGAGGTAACGAAAACGAATATGTAATTCCTAATGAATGGGACAGGTAAGAGTCAACATAAGTTACCATATATAACGGTGCAGAAACATTTATGGTGTAGAGGACCATATATATAAGGGACGATGTATTTTAATATTGAGTGGTCCTTCTCATGCAATTTAATAATTTAGTTGCAACGTTATGCATGTGATTCTGCATGCATGGACAGTTTACAGTTATCTTACTATTCATATGTACACCATTAAATCAGTACACACTCAGTATAGTTACTACAGTACTAGCTATAGTCTCTCTCTCTCTCTCTCAGTAATAAATATATATATATTGGCTAAGATGATATGAATAAGAAATGTTGGTTAGGCTGTCCAAAAAAAAAATAGACATGTTGATTAGTTTAAATTCGAATATATATATATGCTTTGTGTTTGTGTAAAATCACAAAAATTTAAATTTTACAGTTAAGAAAGTCCAACATCTTCAAAAGGATACCATGAATTTATTGGAGTTACATGGTAACAGAAGTCGATTCACCTCAAACATATGGTAAGAAAATCCGCCAAGAAAAAAAAAAAAAAAAAAAAAAAGATAATCCGCCAAGATATTAAGAGTAACCAAAACAATATTATAAATATGCATCACATATACCAACTTTATTAGTTCGATCGGTCGCATACATGGGTCAATCTTCCAGTTTCAAAGACATTTTGAGCTTGTGATTGGTTTGTACATTCTAAAACTCGTAGAGTTTTTTTTTACTTTGATTTAAATTTTTTTTTGGGCAAATGATTTCAAGTCTTTAAAGATCTTTTTACTTATTAGCTTGATCAAATTTTAATACTTTTGCTGTTTTACAGTTCTAAATGTGCTCTTAAAAACTTTCAGAGTCTAATTTCTCTTTTTTGTTCAGGTCGTCGTTTATTTTTATAAGTCAACAGAATATAATTTAATTAAAAAATAAATTAGAGCCCATTAGTGTAAACTTAAATTTTCTATATCAGTTTTTGTTTTAAAGTATAGTATACAGTTAAAGTACTTACCAGTGACCTCCTGAATTCATCACAGGTTCCCTAATCAAACTTTCTAGTGGTAGTTGAAGCTCTGAGGTTCCATAAATAGTATTGTCTTCCTTGAAACAATTTAAAGGGAAATTGTGCCATATGTTGAAGGACCCAACCCAATCCTATCCTATCCGCTAGTTAGTGGAACATACTCGGGAACTATAATAAGGCTCTCTTTATATACTATTTCTGAATTCCATGTATTTATCAGTGGATTAATATCACTACAAGAAAATCCTACCAAAAAAAAAATATCACTACAAGAAAATGATCGTGGTCAATATTATTCACGAAATGTAATACAATGTAATGTCTTGACAAAATATTGTAAAGTTGATGACAATATATATATTAATTTCCACATCATAATTGTTTTCTCTTTAACTATTGAAATAATCACTTTCCCTTAAGATATGATCTATATTTTATACATGCTCAAAGCTCTTACCATGAAAATAAATAAATATAAAATTGACAGAAACACAGGCCCGGCCCACCGATAAAGCAGGCAAAGCATCTGCTTTAGGCCACAAAATATAACAAAGTTTTTAGGGCCACGTTACAAAGAAACTTGCTTAGTCTAGTGGTTATGTAGTCAATAAGTTAATGTCAAGTCCTGAGTTCGATTCTCGTCTTCTACAGTTTTTGTTTAAATTTTTAACAATAGTTTTAAATAAAAAATTTTATTATTTAAAATGCTTGAGGCCCCAAATATCCAAGGACCGGGCCTGCAGAAACATGAAAGAAATTTTTATCCCGAAATATTCTGATTTGTTGTCTAGCACATACGTAACTATTTAAGTCTTTATTATTCAATATTTGTGAGATTTTAAGTGCATTACTGATGATAGTAGGTACTTAGAAACACAACACTGCACGGAATTAATTTTCATATAACATTAATCACACGTATGGACGTCTTTTTACACATATGTGGACGTACAACACATTACAACACAACAAAGCAACGAAACATTTTACTAATTATTATTAAATACAATTTTTAATTACGTAGATTTGGAGATATTAATTAATTACCGGAATAGAAAAATATGGATCTACCACAGCCACAGTGTTACTCTCAACATAAGTATCACAACAAAACTCATTGTAAAACGCTCTTGCCCTCCTTAATATATGGCTTATGGAACATTTCATGTACCACAACAAGCTTAATCGAGCAACGTCACGCCTCAAATCTCCGTATTTGCTCGCGGTTATCGACTTACCATCCTTGTAGTCGGAGTTCGAGACCTTCCCGTGTTCTTGTTGACTCGTCTCCTCGTCTTTTAAGGACTGATCTTCAATAAACAGTAGTGGATTAGTAAGAGGGTGTGAATTTGTCTTATTATGATAGATTTCTGTTAGCGTTTTGCCAGAAAAGGCGTTGCTCAACATGTTTTCGCTTATGGATTTGGATGTTTTGGGTTTGTTTTGATTGCATCGACGAGATTTTGGGGTTGAAATCAGGGTTTTAGGGCGGTGGAGTCGAGTGAGGATGACGAATTTAGTAGCCATAAGACTATATATGAGAGAGATTGATATATAGTATAAACTATAAAGTGATTGTTTTGTGGATTGCTCTTTCACTCCTTGCTTAACATATTTATATGCACACATCTATACATACACCTTACATATATGTTAGCGTATAAGTCCTAACACGAAACTAAATATTTTGAATTTTTTGATAAAACAAAATTTTTGGGCCGATTGATGGTTACATCTTAAAATGTAAACTAAAGAGATTATTTTGCTTAACCGTCCAATGTTTATAGTTTCATAGAGATTTCGCAATCTTTCGTTGTATATTGCCAAACAATTAAAAGGCGAAAGCTAAAAGAATACCTAAATCATGGATCGTTTGATCGTGATATTTGTGATATTTTTAAAAATACTTCGAACATTCTTTTGTATATGGCAAATCTTACGAGTTAACACATTAAGAAATTAACAAAGTCAAGAACAGACTCTAGCGAATGAAAATCCAAAAAAAATGAAAACGCATAGTTAGCTAATCCATCGATAAGACGATTAACCTCCATATATACATGAGATATACGGACTATATAATCATAAATTAACATTTTCCGAAAAGTTTATCGACTCTATAGTGATATTTTTTTTGGTTTGATTATAAAAAAAAACAAAAAGATGCAATTTGCAAGTCCGTACTGTACGGAACATAGCTCCTACATAAATGATTCTCTAGAACATACAATGATCGTGTGGTCAGTGTTGCTCGATCTCAATTGGTTAAAAAAAAATGGGGCCATAAAAGCTGGATGAAAATGAAATGTACCTCCACTAAACAAGTGACTTTACCTCTTCCACTTCACACAAATTTTCTTATAAGTTAAATAAGGAATTTACAATAGTTTTCATGATCCACAGTCCACACATTAAAAAAAAAAGATAAAAATGAGAAACAAAAATAAGGAAGAACCCCAGAATCTATGGAACTGAAATATGGAATTTAGCTGTGGGAATCAAATGGTGTGTAAGAATGGTCCATACCCACGTGCATGGGAACTGTTTGGTATCTATATGTTTCCTTCGTTGTTCTTTTCACTAAAAGGCGGTGGTCTTATGTATCTTTGATGTTTCAGAGATCCCGGCTTTTTCGGTAATTGACTCTCAATTTACCAAATCTCTAATCGCAAAACTCTGATTTGGTAATGGATAAGCATATTCTTGTAGACTGAATATGAGAAATCAAGTTAATTTATCTATCTGAACCAGATTGAATATCTGAAATTTCACAAATGATATCTTAAGCAGATGAAACTTTAGTGAGACTTAATATAATCAGGTTTCAATCATGTTGGCTTTTTTATAATTTTCTCAAAACAATCTCTGTTTAGGGTATCTTGAATTGGATAAGTAAAAACAAAAAGCATGAACAGTGGAAGTATATCAAATTTTATTCTTTTTTCTTTCTACTATTTTTATGTACATCTAAACACTTTTTTCACCTCTTTATGAGAAAATTAACAATTTAAAAGAATCGTATACAAGAAGAATAAACAGTATTCACCCCATCGAAAGTCTTTTACTCTACGGTGAATGTTGTTGAATTAGTTGATACCGTTATAAAATGTTACCTTTCATACCATCAGTCCATTAGTCTCTGTGGGCAAAAATTCTGCACGGCTGAGGAAATTTTCCTTAGCGACGTGTCAGGCATGAATTAGTTCTAAACTACTCCGATGAGAACTTGCTTAAGCTCTCTGAAGCACAAAAGGGTGAGAAAAATCAATACCTTGAGCCAAACAGATTGTAAAAGAAGATGAATTATAAAGTGGAGTTTGAAGGAGTATTTACATTTATGTGACCTGTAAATAGAGGAGCCTCTTATTGATCCAAGCTCACATGAATATCCATGTGTAAACTTTTAATTGACTGTCCATGATGTGTGCATCTTTCATTGAATCTAACATAAGGGTAAGTGTTTTTAGATTCAGCATTAAGAGATTCTTTAAAACAAACAAACAGTATCAAAGAATCCTAGTGGTCTCAGCATAGAATTGTAAGTGGCAATTTACTAAAGGCACAAAGGTGTGTGAACATTATTGTACCTGTATAATCTTTTCAGGACTGCTGTCTGAAGTGCCTTCTCTGATCCAGAATCTATCATATGGCTTTGATCTTGTGGCACTCAATCATAAAGCTGACGAGCACCAGTAATGTGGATTTGTAAATCATAAACCCATAATAGCCATATAGCCTATGATGCTAAAAGCAACAACTTTTCTCCTTCAGATTGAAGCAGGCCAAAGCTGTTAACTGAATGTGGCTGGAGAATCAAGTAGAACACACTAACCTACTTGTAAGATGCAATGGACCATATGCATTTACCACGTAACTCCATCCTAACGTGTTCCTCTAAGAAGAAGATGCAGATCCCGGGCGTGAATAAGACCATCAAAACTGAGAACGCCACTGGATCTCGATTTTCCAACTGCAACAACAGGATGCACAACTATACAAATCAGAACAATATAACTTAATAAACTGAAGCAGTCAGAGAAACTAATAGGAAAATTGAGAACCAGAATAGAAACCTTTTCTTCTACTTATTCATCAGTTACTGAATGAGTTTGTTCCATCCTTCAACGATTGCTGCATAATTTTCTTCATCAGAGCCTTTCAAAGCTTGCAAAACACCTCCCTGCTTAAGATATCCATATATAAATTCTTTGTATGTGATACTATCTGGAACAATTCCTTTTTCCCTCATCTCATTTAGAAGCCTAGAAGCTTCTGTTACATTCCCATCTCTAGCATACCCACCAATCATCACAGTGTAGGTAATCTTGTTTGGGTGTACGTTCTTTGAATGCATCTCACGCAGAAGACATTCAACTTTGACCATTTGACCCAATTTACCGTATCCATCAATAAGTGCTGTATAGTGAAAGACATTCGGTTCCAAACCCTCCATCCTCATCTCCTCGAGGAGGAGTTTTGCCTCCTCAACACGGCTAATGATCGACATCCCCTTTATTAGTGAAGTATATGTAGCAGAATTAGGTGAAATTCCTTTGTGTCTCATATCTTCACGAAGTTCCAAGGCCATCGATAGCCTTCCGCTTCTACAGTACGCTCCAATTAGATGATTGTAAACAACAGTATTTGGCTGCACGTTATTGCTCATCATCTCATCAAACAGTTTCTGACCCTCTTCTGTTCTTTCAGCTTTACAAGATCCATCTATCATCACCGAATATGTATAAACATCTGGAAACATGCCATTCCGTTTACAATCACCCCAGAACTGTATGGCCTCCTCAACTTTATTCATATTAAACAGCCCGCGAATCAATATGCTATAAGTATAATTGTCAGGCTTAAGTCCTCTCTTAACCATTTCATCCATGAACATAAAAGCTTCATCTAATTTCTTATTTCCGCAACATCCAGAAATCAACGTGTTATAGGAAACTCTATCCATAACAAAGCCACGCCCTAATATCTCCTTTTGAATCCTAAAAGCTTCTTCCAGCTTCCCTGCTTCACAGAGTCCATGAAGCAAAGCATTTGAAGTCTTCGTGTCTACTAGGAAACCTTTATTTAGAAATTTAAACCAAAGTTCTACTGCCTTTGAGTGTTTTCCATGCTTACAGAGACCAGAAATCAATGTAGTAAGTAATCCACCACCAGGACTCATGTTGCGTAGTAGCATCTCTCCAACAAAACGAAGTGCTGAGTCAAAAATATGATGACTGCACAACAAGCAAATCACAGATGTAAAGGAGCCCTGATTTACATTAAAACCAATCGACAGCATTTCCTTCAGGAGACGCTCCGCAATATCTGCTTGACCACTCTTGCAGTATCCCTTTATGAGAGTATTATACGTCGACGATGTGAGAGACAACCCCTTTGAAACCATGAGATCCTTTATCTCAACAGCTTTGTTCAAACTTCCAGCCTCGATTAAACTATCAATCAAATTATTATATACAATAACATTAGGAGGAAACCCTTTCCCTGTCATTTCCTTCAAGACACAATAAGCATCACCAATCCTCTTAGCCTTAGTCAAACCCTTGACAAGAATACTATAAGTGATAAGAGTTGGTTCCACGCCTCTTTCTACCATCTTTTCTTTAAACTTAAATGCCTCATCATACCTTCCACACATCCCAAGTCCATCAATAACAGTATTGTAGGTAACAACGTTTGGTGCAACACCCGCTTCTTCCATTTTTGAGAACAACTCAATGGCCTCCTCAACTTTCCTACCCTTGCAAAACGCATTGATCGCTGTAGTGAACAAGTAAACATCCGGAGAAACCCCTTTGCAAACAACATCAAAAGCTTCACAACACTTCTGAAACTCATTAGCTCTCACAAGAGAAGTCAGCAAAATATTGCAAGTCGTCTTAGAAGGAAACATATCCTTGTTTGCAAGAACAGGAAATACATCAAGAGCTAAATAACAACCATCACGCTTGAACTGAGTGCAATAAACTTCAATCAACAAATCTGACATTTTCCTTCTGATTTCTTCATCAAAACACAAACTCAAACTCGCCATTGCATCCGCAATCGCAAATCGACTATCTCTCAAACCACCATTACCACAAGGAAAAACCGGTACATTCCCATTGATCAAACGAATCAAAACTACCCTAGCAGGGGACAACAGATTCGCATCAAGCAATAAACCAATCAATAAACAATAAGAACGGAGACTAAAGGCGAAACTAAATGAATCAGAAGCTAATCGGAAAAAATCCAAAGCCGTCTTGGGATTAACTTTGGATCGAAACTCAGGAAACAACCTATCGAATTCGTAAGGCGATAAAATAGTTATGAGTTGTTTACACTGCTCGTAATCTAGAGATCTCTTCGACAAAACTGATGATAACCGTTCGTGTAAATGCCGATCAGAGGAAGTCTCTTCCGATTTATCCGGCCGATGAAGGCACTGTTGCAGGTATCGAGTTGTATGAAAGCTTTTTCGAGCTTTCGCTATGGATTTCAAGCGGCGAGTGAATAAGTAGCTTGCGCGAGAGAGTCTCCTCAAATCCATTGGTGAGAAAGAGAGGAAATGTGAGGAAGTCATTTGTGAAGAGATTTTAGGGAAATAGAGAAGAGCCGCCATTGATCAATGTCGAAGAGGAATTGAAGATGGTGTTGAGCCACGCCATTGGAGAGAGAGAGACGGAGAAATTCTCGAGAGGTGGCGATTTGGGCAAAAACCCAGGGTTCAGACTTGGGGGACACGAACGGGGTCGACAATATATTTGGGCCTTTTATGGGCCCGGGTTTTTTTAATGATTGGGCTGAAAGCTGCAACACTGTAGACCAATGTCAAACATGTAACAAAAATTTCGTTTTTTTTTCCCATCATATTGTTGCGTTTTATTAAAATGCAATCACTTGTTTAAAAAGAACGAAATTAAAAAATCCAAATAGAGACGTAATCCGATGGAGACATTGTAAGAAACAAAAGAATTGTAGAATAACGTAGCTAGAAATGGTCAACAATGCGTTCATAGGAAAACAATTTAAACAATGAAAATTGTGTCTAAACAAAATCTTTGATTTGGTGCGAATATGACCCACGCATTGTAACTTTAATTTAAGTCAAGATAATATTAATATATAATGTCATGTTATCACTGTTTAGAATAAACTTTTAGCTTACGATTCACGTGGGTTTACAAAAAAAAAAAAAAAACTTACGATTCACGTGGAAACAAAATTATTCAGAGATTACATCTACTAACATTTGTAGTTTCGTACGTATTATTTAGAAACTAGAGAAAGATTTGGGGGAAAACTCTTTATTATGTGTTGTTTATCTCAATAGAATTGATATACAATATATAGAGAGACTAACTTATGTTTAAGTTAACTAGAATAGGAAATAGATAAACATGAATAAGTAAATATTCTAAATCTCTTAATCCTTATCACAATAGGATATCTAGAATATTCTTTGACTTCGGCTTTACGGGCTTCACGGGCTTGGTCCGCTGTCTTGCTTCCCAAGTTACCTCAATACTCTCCCGCACGACAAACGTGGTACGCAAAACGCAAACTTTGCAATCACAAAGCGGAACACGTATGTCGTGGACAATATGTTAAGGACGGACAAATCATGTCAACAAACGCCTCATAGAGGTTCTACTGTATATTATTATAAATGTAGAACATATTCGGTGAAAAGATTATTAGACTAGACACAAAGCATCGACAGTAGTAAGTAACAAGCTGTCACCACAAGTTCATTAAATATCTTTTATTTTAAAAAACAAATACTAACACTTGCATTAAAAGTACATAAATGGAAACATTTAAGAGGACAGATACAAGTCCAGTTGATTATTTTTATTTTTTGAATAAATTACTAAGACACCTTTCAAAATAAAAAAATACTAACACTTGCAGTAGTACTACTAAATAAGTAGAGATATTTCAATTAAGTGTATAAATATGCGCATATATATAGGTAATCAATATCACAATCATAATGTGTCCGTAGTAATTTTTTCGCTCACTATTTTAATCATAGTCTTGCTATCTTTAATCATCCCCAAAAGACACCGTTTGTCTTTTTAATTATTAAAACAATCAAAACTTTTAAAACTAATCATATCTTATTTTAAGAAAATAAGTAAATTATCTATTATAAAAAGAAAATAGAAAGGGTGCCACGTAAATAGAAGAATTGATTTCTTAATAATTTTCTCAAAAAGTAGAAGAATCCTTTTCTTCTATTTTTAATGTAAACACACCAAAAGAGAAAAAGCTCACTCACACACAAACCACCTCCAATTCTCTCTACCATACAAAAAAAAATAAACCCACAAAGTCTCTCTCCGTGATTCGATTTTCAGAACCTAACGCCGACGAAAAGATTATGGCGGGGCAATCACGAAAATGGATGATTCTGGTGGCGACGATATGGATTCAAGCTTTCACCGGGACGAATTTCGATTTCTCAGCTTACTCGTCAGATTTGAAATCGGTTCTAGGGATTTCACAGGTGCAGCTAAACTACCTCGCCGTGGCTTCGGATCTCGGAAAAGTTTTCGGATGGTCGTCGGGGCTAGCGCTTATGTATTTCCCGCTTTGGACGGTGCTTTTCGCGGCGGCGTTTATGGGATTCGTCGGTTATGGAGTTCAGTGGCTCGTCATCACTCATTTCATCTCTTTGCCTTATATTATGGTAACGTTACCAACTTTTTCTACTTTTTTTTTTGCTCTTTTAAATAACTGTTCATAGAAAAGAAAAAGATTGGAAAATAAAAAATAAAAAATCTAGAGATTGGAATATTTTTAAGGGTCGAATATTTTTGTCTTAAAATTCAAAATTAGTTTATTTAAGAATGATTCTTTTTTTTTAATAAGGATTTGATGCAATTTTATTTCTGTTTGTTTAAGAACAGCTTATATATTAATTAATTGTGACAAATGAGACGAAAATAAGATTTTGAATCTCAGATTGGGTGACGTTTGATTGGTAGAATGCTAATTTTTTTTTTTTTTTTTTTTGTCGATTTGTAGTTTCTTATTTCTTTGGTATATGCATTATTTTTAGAAATTGTCTTCCACTTATTTGGTTGGTGGCAAGTGGCATCAACTTACGAGTTTTGTGTCACGTTTGATGGCTATTTCGAAAATCTGCAATTAAATCTATATTATAAATTATGACGTCAAAAGATATTTAAAGTCCGATATTTTATATACTAGGACTCCGGACCCCCGCGATGTCGCGGGGGAAAATATTTCAAAAATCGTTTAAAAAAATATCAAACAAAAATTAATAATAACGATGGTAGATGATTAAATGTTATAACGATTTATAAAATAAACTTAAAGTTTCAATTTTTCGTGAAATAAACTAAATGTTGCAATAGTTCAACTAAACGGTTGCAACCATTTTATGAAAAGTTACGATAAAAAGATGCAACCGTAAAAAATATTTACTCGGATTGCAACTTTCTTAAAACAAATAACGTAAGATAATTTTTTAAGTTAAAAAAAAAATGAAATGTTGCGATATATCAAAAGTTGCAACGGTTCGTCAAGTTTGTCAAATAAACTAAAGATTACAACGGTTCGTAAAATAAAACCAAAAGTTGCAATGATTTGTCAGATAAACCAAATGTTTCAACGGTTCAATTAAACGATTACAATCTCATTTAAATAAATTTTGGTAATTAAAAATTAAAATATTAATTTATGAAAAGTTATACCGAGAGACTCGACGGTAGATAATTAGATGTTGTAGCAATTTATAAAATAAACCAAAGGTTGCAATTGTGCGTAAAATAAACTAAATATATAAATCAAAGGTTGCAATCGTTCGTGAAATAAACTAAATATTGCAATAATTCAAATAAGAGGTTGCAACTGTTTATGAAGAGTTACAATAAAAAGACGCAACCGTTGAAGATATTCGGATTGCAATTTTCTAAAAAACATACCCGTAAAATATATATTTTAGTTGAAAAGAAAGACAATATATAGAGTTGAAAAGGCACGATTTTACAACTATTCGATAAGTCCATTACGTAGACGAACGTGTCCGTTAAAGCTTTAATGTGTGGGGCTCATTTCACTCACGTATGTCCAAATTATTTAAACCTCTATATTATTGTTTTTCCATGATATCACGTAAATGTTAAATGAATGATATAATTAAGGAGGTTATACTACTAAATATATCTATATGTAAACTATGAAATAAAACTAATTTTATATGTAGTTTATTGGTTTACGTAAAAAGAAATTCAATAAAACAACATGACCGTACAAAAATAACAGTAAGAAAAACAACCATAAATATTTAAACAAAAGGTTCCAATAAAAAGACGCAACCGTTCAGATGTGCAAATGGTATTTATTGGAAACGACATAACCGTAAAAAATAACCGATTAAAACGAAAATTGCGATAAAAAGACGCAACCAAAATAACCGTAAAAAAATAACCGATTTAAACGAAAGGTTGCGATAAAAAGACGCAACCGTTCATATGTGCAAATGGTATTTATTAGATTGCTATTATATATAGATTGATCCAGTTGCATATAATTCTTATTGTTCGTATAAATAAGCTAAATAATGACAACCACGATTTTCTGATACGTCTTTTTCTAATGAATAAGTGATAACATAGAATTTTGTTATTAACATAATTTAATAAAGTAACTATACAAATATTGAATGTGAGTTTTTTTTTGTTTAATGTTTTTTTTTTTGCCTAATCAAGTCAATTAGATGAATTTTTTTAATAATTTGCCGTTTCTGAAGAAATTTTTTGATTAAGTTTGGCTAGCTTGTGTGCAGGTGTTTCTATGTTGCTTACTTGCTGGTCTAAGTATCTGTTGGTTCAACACAGTCTGTTTTGTGCTCTGCATTAGTAACTTCCCTGCAAACAGATCACTTGCTCTTTCCCTCACAGTGAGCTTCAATGGCGTAAGCGCCGCGTTGTATACTCTCGCTTATAACGCAATCAATCCAACCTCTCCAGAGCTATATCTTCTTTTAAACGCTCTTATACCGCTCATTGTCTCTTTCACTGCAATCATCCCGATTCTTCGCCAACCGCCTTTTGAGCCTCTTCCACCAGATGGAGTTCGCCGTGACTCTCTCATGTTTCTTTTACTCAACATACTCGCTGCTTTAAACGGTGTTTATCTCCTTCTCTTTGGATCAAACTCAACTGATTTAACCTCTGCTCGTCTCCTCTTTGGTGGTGCTATCGTCCTTTTGATCTTCCCTTTATGTATTCCTGGTTTAGTCATCGCCCGGAATTGGTATAACCGCACAATCCACACCAGTTTCCGTCTAGAAGGTTCTGGTTTCATTCTTGTTGATCCTGATGACCTTGAGTTGCATAAAGGGATGCTTGCACATGAAGCAAACCGCGAAGGCTACCAATTGCTGAATGATGATGTGGTGCAAAACCCGGTTAAGACCGTAGCTGTTGAGGAAGACGATACTGATGAGTCTTGTTGCAAGAAGCTTATTACAAGAGATCAGCTTGAAGGTTTGGGGATTGAACATTCTTTGTCGCTGCTCTTAAGCAGATCAGATTTCTGGTTATACTATATCGCTTATTTCTGCGGTGGAACCATTGGACTTGTGTACAGCAACAACCTCGGACAGATTGCTCAGTCTTTAGGACAAAGCTCAAATACCACAACTCTTGTCACACTTTATTCC